TCCATCCATAAAGATGAGTAACATATTTTCACTTAAACTATTGGTGCCTATTTTTTAGAAGCAATAAATGGGACGTAGAATGTGCAGTAAAGCTCGTAGCTAATGTAAACTTGTTTCACATGTTTCCACAACCTTGCTTAAAAATATCAGTTATTTATTACATTAATTATCTACAGCTATTAATCCAGGAAAAATGTGATATGTTTCAATCTTGAAAGCTTTAAATTTTCCCATTATCTAATTGTGTGGTCATGTCCAGTAATAAAATGCTCCATCTAACGGTGTTAAAATATTTTTTTATGATTTTATTTGTTTGCCATATGTTCGTTATGGATATTGTGTGTGTATTTGATGTACTCCTTTAAACAAGATGGGTCTTTTTTTTTGATACCCATTAGAACAATGGCCAATTTTTTATTTAATTGAAGTTTTATTAAACTAAAACTTTGCTTGCTTTGACTAGTTATTTTGGTTGAATTTGTTAATTATTTTCGTGTTATATTAATTAAAAATTCATGGTTTATTATGGGTGATGGTTGGGAGAATATTTAGAAAAAAAATACAAACGTGCCACTAAGTTTTGTGTTTTTTCTGCTCTTCAAACTCACAATGCCCCCCCCCCCAGTAGCACAGCGGTATGTCTGCGGACTTACAACACTAGAATCCGGGGTTCGATACCCGTGGTGGGCAGAGCACAGATAGCCCATTGTGTAGCTTTGTGCTTAACTTAAATTAAACAATAAACAAATCAAACTCACAATGCCTCCCATCAGTAGCACAGCAGTATGTCTGCGGACTTACAACGCTAGAATCCGGATTTCGACACCCGTGGTGGGCAGAGCACAGATAGCCCATTGTGTAGCTTTGTGCTTAACTTCAAACAAATAATAAACAAATCAAACTCACAATGCCCCCCCCCCAGTAGCACAGCGGTATGTCTGCGGACTTACAACACTAGAATCCGGGTTTCGATACCCATGGTGGGCAGAGCACAGATAGCCCATTGTGTAGCTTTGTGCTTAACTTAAATTAAGCAATAAACAAATCAAACTCACAAATAGTCGTAGCAAAATTTGAACCAAATTAGTGTTTAGTTATTCTAGACGTTTAATGTGTCTAAGTTGGAACCCATAATGGGATTGCTAAGAACGCCATGCTTAATAACACAAATACGTCTTTTCTGATGTCGTATCTTGTGACTCTCGTTACTCATGTTCGTCCCTCCCCCCATTGTCTGCGAACTTACAACGCTAGAATCCGGGTTTCGATACCCGTGGTGGGCAGAGCACAGATAGCCCATTGTGTAGCTTTGTGCTTAATTACAAACAATACGCATGCTCATGGAAACGTTTTAAAGTACAAGCTGGATCCAAAATTAGAAAAGTGTACAGAATTTTTAAAAGTCCACGTGTTTCAGGTTAATGTACGAGCACGTATAAACTGTATATACACACACGATAAACATTGTGACAAAGAACTAATGATTTGACATTCAATTGTTGACCACGTGAAACAACTAATGTTTGGCTGCTCTACATACGCGAAAAGATGAGAAATGTGTGTGTGTGTGTATCGCATGGCAGTAAGGTTACTATGATACTTTACTGTAAGATGACGAGGTGTGCTATTCAAAGTAAGGTCGTGATAATAATTTACAGAAAAACTATACAATTAAAAGGAAGTGCCTGTATCGATGAAACTGTACGGCGATAAGGTAAAAAGTGAAATCCCTTCAGTAAAGCAGCGATTAAACTGTACGGCGATAAGGTAAAAAGTGAAATCCCTTCAGTAAAGCAGCGATTAAACTGTACGGCGATAAGGTAAAAAGTGAAATCCCTTCAGTAAAGCAGCGATTAAACTGTACGGCGATAAGGTAAAAAGTGAAATCCCCACCTGTTTTACTGAGGATTCATCGAACAAGAAATTAATGGGGAAACATGTGTAGGAATATATCGGTAACTATCGTTTATAAGTAGCTTTGAGGTAAGTGTAAACGGAAATATAAGGTTAAATTGAAAGTCAACTCCTCAAAGGGTACAAAAAAAAATGGAAAGGCTTATAAACAATAGTGGTGTCATGTTTATTTGTTTTTCTAGAAGACTCACTTGTTTCCTTTTTTTCTATTTTGGTTAATAGACGTATCCCATACTGTATACGTGTAAAACATTCAGAAATACATATATTTAAGGACAACATGGGACCTTTTGGTCCATCTAGGCCGTCCCATCCACTAGACTAAAATAAAACACTCAAAGCCAGCCCTTATCATTCAAGAATTTATCATGTATTCCCTTATTAACTGCATGTACCTCCTCTTAAGGCAACCCGTTCCCCCCACCCAGTGTCTCAGCGGTCAGTCTGAAGCCTAATAACGCTAAAAACCGGGTTTCGATACCCGTGGTTGGCACAGTACAGATAAGCAGTTGTGTAGCTTTGCGCCTAACAACCAACAGACAATAAAAAGAACAACCCATTCCGAGGTCAAACTTCCGTAAGGATCGGAAGGAGGAAGTCGTCTTGTCCAGGTTATGCATTGGTCACAGTTTTATGACTTATAGTTTTCTCATATGTATGACTAATCCGCCAATGTGTGACCTTTGTGACACTGAGGTCTTAAATGCCCACATTTTACTTTCGTGCCATCGTTACGACTGTGAGAGGTGGCGTCATTTTAGACATGTCTTTTGTAAGGGTTTTATCTTTGACGTTGAACGGTTATTTTGGGGGCCATTGGCCTTTTTAATTCTCTTTAATTTTTTTACCTGATTTTATGGGCATTGATTAGTTTTCTTTCCTTTTTGCCGCATGGGCGTCCGCAGAACTTATTCCAGGGAGGGGCAAAGTTTCCAGGGGGGCAAAGTAGTGTGAAATTGTGAATCGCATAAAAAAAATCCATATACAAATGCTGAATGAATAAAGAAATATTTATGTTTCTCATTTTCCAGGGAGGCAAGTGCCCCCCCCCCCTGCGGACGCCCATGTTTTACCGGTTGTTTGGCGCAGATAGCTTTGTGCCAGTAAATCCCAAACAACCAAGGCCAACCACCTTGTTAGAAAACTATAACTATCTTAGCTGAGGGTGACTCCTAACCTACCAATATTTATATTTGTGTCCCTTAGTCCTACCATTCTCGTCAGTAAAATACGAAAAATAATGATGAATTATTAACACTATCAATTCCCTTAACAATCTTAAACATCTCAATCAGATCTCGTTTAACTTCGATTTTTCTCCATTTTGTTTGTTTCTTGAATTCTACACAAAGCTACTCAAGGGTTATCTGAGATAACCATCCTGCACTTAAAAGTGATAGACTGGAGTAAGACATCTGGTCAACACCTCCCACCGCCAACTCTTTGGCTACTCTGATGGGATTGCCAAGCCATTATAACGACCCTACAGCCAAAAGGATAGCATGTTCAGTGATGGGATTCGAACCCGTGACTTGCAGATGCTGGTCAAGCCCCCTAACCACCAAGACTTCTCCATTTTAAGTAAATTCGGTGTTGTTGGAAAATAGTACGCTGTCATTTTTTGACTGTCTGTTTTGATTCTATGTGAACATGTTCAGTGATGGGATTCGAACCCGTGACCTGCAGACCTAACCACTAGGACTTCTGCATGTTGAATAAATTCGGTATTGTTGGAGAATAGTACGCTGTCATTTTTTGACTATCTGTTTTGGTTCTATTCAGATTGAGTCTTTTAATTATATTATGTTTTTATTTAAGGATTTTAGTAAAATATCGAGGAGGTTGTAAATTCGGTGTTATCTTACTGTTCATTAACCACTACATCAGCTTCCCTGAAATAACGTGTCAGATAGTTAGTTACCTGAGCTGACCAAAGATCTCTGAACAGGTAAAACCTTTTCGAACAAAGTTATTGAAATTTATATTAAATTGTTGAAAAAGAACCTAATTCTTGAAATCTGAATGTTTTGTCAATAACCGAACTGATATTTTAATGTTTTCTCAATAACCGAACTGATATTTTAATGTTTTCTCAATAACCGAACTGATATTTTAATGTTTTCTCAATAACCGAACTGATATTTTAATGTTTTCTCAATAACTGAACTGATGTTTTAATGTTTTCTCAGTAACCGAACTGATGTTTTAATGTTTTCTCAATAACCGAACTGATATTTTAATGTTTTCTCAGTAACCGAACTGATATTTTAATGTTTTCCCAATAACCGAACTGATGTTTTAATGTTTTCTCAATAACCGAACTGATGTTTTAATGTTTTCTCAATAACCGAACTGATATTTAATGTTTCTCAATAACCGAACTGATGTTTAATGTTTGTTAAAAGATGGAATGCTATTCTAGCAAGTTTCTGTTCTTTTGTTTTATAAATTTGTTTTAGCGCAGAGCTACACAATAGACTATCTACGCACTGTCCAACACAGGGATTCGAACTCTGGATTTTAGCGTCGCAAGCCCGTAAAACTTACCGCTGACAAACTGGGGGACAAAATATATTATTGGTAGTGTAAGAAGATTTAATTCCGAAAAATGAGATGTCAGTGAATGTTATTTTGAGTAAATTATATCTGTTAATTAATTGAAACAGTGTCTCAAAATGATATTTTCACAGACCCTAGTAACATTATCTAGGTTCGTACCTGAATCGTAAATATAAGCACAGTTCGCAGCTCCAAAGTCATAAAATGTTGGAGGTCTGTAGCTTAAAATGAATGTTTTACGAACTTTTGTGTTCGAGTCAAATTATTTACAAGAAGTTTTATTTCTTTCGATTTTTCTTGCAAGAAACAAGCGTGTATGATTCATTAATTTCACATTAATTAGTGTATAATCAAGCCAGCCACTCGAAATATGTAATTACAAACAGATTCGGCAAAGTTTCGTTATTAATTTATTTTAGTTCCAAGCTTATATTTGTCGTTTCCAAGGTTGTTTTATTACATCGGTCAGAACGTTCGACGTGAACGTATTAAAAACACAGCACGATTTCCGTTTGACCCTTCTTAACCTTCAAACTTGATCTTCACGTCGGTCAAGGTCATGTTGGGGGTCAAGAATTCCTCAGCGGTACGGGCACTGATATGACGATCGAAGGGGAAACCCATGGGTTTTTTGTCGGGATACTTACTGTTCTTGGCTCCGCAATAGCTAACGGCGTCATCACACATGTGATTTTCAGATCCGCTACCGCCCACCTGTTAAACAGTAAACGTTATCAGATTAAAATACAGCATAGAAAGCGCCATCTCGTGGTTACATGCCGAACCTAAGTAAAAAAAAAAATTTGATTTTTTCAGGTATTGTAATAATTCAAAACCAATACCTACGTTTATTACTTGTTTCCCTGACAAATTATAAACGACTTTGAAACTTATTTGTGTCTTAAATTCTACACTAAAACTTCCACCAGAGGCTTTCATCGGTTTTCTATATTTTGATATTGAATTTATTAAGTATGTTGAATTCCCCCCACCCCCCAGTCTACACTAAAATAAAATTATAACCAAAACTTTCTTAATTAACTACTTTTGGCATATTTTAGAGGTAATTCAAATGAATAAAAGGCATCATATGCGACGTATTGGCCAAACCGGCTATCCCTAACTTAGAAATGCTCAGACTTTGAACTTTCCGATTCACAGCCCGACATGCTAACCATTAATAAGCCGCATCAGACGTTACATATTAATGGCATAAAATACACTTCCAAGGCTTATTTGTTAACTTCACGCATCTAGTTATGAGATAGTAAAAAGAGAAAAAAAAATGTTTATTATTTTATTTCAATTATTGATTTTTAAAGTTCGAAACATATTAGTCTGTAGCTCGGTTAGTCTTGGTGTTTGAAAATAACCAATACTGTGATTGGTCTTTTACTGTCTTTGGTTTTCCTTTCTTACTTACATTGTCGTTCTCCCAATCGGTCAGCATGATGAAAAGTTCAAAGATCATCCCTTTGTGGTTACCACGTGGGATAAGCATGTTCTTCGGCCACCCACAACTGCAATATTCATCAGCGTTCTCACTGACCCCTTGACCGGCCTTCAGCTCCTCGAAAGTACGTAGAGTAGAGACGGTCACGCTGGAATCCTCGGAGTTCCGTGTGATTTCGTTCTTGCCAGCCTTCACTGTAGGAAAGGGTAATAATGGTGTTTTAGCGTTATTTGTATGTGTATTAACAAAAAAAAAGGGCGTAATGATGGTTACCGAGATTTAAAAATAGCACATTCCTGGTCCATAGTTTGGATTGTTGTTTGTTTGTAGTTAAGCATTTTGATAAAGATTTTTAAAAAAACGGCCAGATAATTATAAAAGAATATATTTTTTTATTTCAACCAACGTTTCGCCTTTGTGGCTTCATACACTGTTTGATATTCAGCTGTATATATTAACCCTGATGAAGCCGCAAAGGCGAAACGTTGGTTGAAATAAAAATATGTTCTTATACAATTATCTGGAGTGTAACGGTCGTTTTTTTTTTCTAATTTTTTTTATCAAAAGGTATAAATCCCTCCAGTATGCACTACCAATTTTGAAAGACAAGAAATAATTTGTAGTTAAGCACAGAGATACATAATGGGTAAGCTGTGCTGTGCCCGCCGCAGGTATCGAGCCAAGAATCTGAGCGTTGTAAGCTCTCGAGCTTGCTGTGTAAATCCCTTGAATATTCACTACAAATTTTGAAAGACAATAAATTTTTTAGTTAAGCACAAAGATACACAATGGACAATCTGTGCTGTGCCCACCGTATGGATCAAACCCAGAATTTAAGCGTTATAAGCTCTCAAGCTGAGCCACTGGAGGCCCCATAATTTCAATCGTGCAATGTTCAATAATGATAATAATGAAAAATTCAACTTAGTTTCTTTATATAATGTTGCCCTCAAATTCTAGGCTTGATACCCGCGAGTTGCGCAGCACAGATTGAGTAGCTTTGTGCTTAAAAATAATTTCTTTAGCGTTACCGAAACGTATGAAAAAAAAAACAACAAGTATTTTTGTAAGTAAACAATTTAAATAAACAAGCACCGAAAATTGAATACAGAAGTTTTCTTTATTGTACTTGATAACAAAAGCTCGTAATTACATTTTACTTCTATTTTCCTTGAATGTTTTGTCCAGACATGGTTTGGACTAGAAAATTAGCTTGCGATGATAAATTGAAAAGATAAAATGAAATGAAAATGTACAAAGACACGTGTCAAAATAAGAGAACCGTGGGCACCGCGCTCGGTTCAGAAAATCACATAGAGGGCACTGGTGACCCACCAAAGTAGAGGAATTTTCGGAAACTCCGAGCCAAACCTCAAGAGCCCCCAAGTATGTGTGGTAGTTTGTTTGTTTATTTGTTATTATTTTTTAGAGCAAAGCCACCCTGGACTATCTGCTGTGTCCACCGCGCGGAGGAATAGAACCCCGAATTTTAGCGTTGTAATGAATATATGAAAACGTAAGGTGGTCAGCGTTTGTCAAATCACGAGTCGTCAGAGTTTGTTTAGTAAGCCGGATATATATATATAATATTGTTATACTTAAGGTATTTGCGAGATCGCGATGATTGGTGATCAATGTTTACACGTGGGTCCACTGGGTCAAGAGTTAAAAAAAAAAAAAAACGAAACACGTGAATAAAAAGTATTACGGAATTACCAAACCTTCGGGCCCCCAGTGGCACGGCGGTATGTCTGCGGACTTACAACGCTAGAAACCGGGTTTGGATACCCGTGGTGGGCAGAGAACAGATAGTCCATTGTGTAGCTTTGAGCTTAATCACAAATAAATAAACCAAAATTACAAGTTGTCCGAAAGTTATGGAACCATTGTTGATTTGAGCTTGGTTGAATGACACCTTCCCAGGACAATTGGATTGGCAGACGTGGTCTCCAGTAATGGGGCCCCAAAATCTTCGGATTGTGACTCTCGTGGATTTATTTTTCTGGGGACTGCTGAAGACGCGTTCAAGAGAAGATCAGGGACACCAAACATTTGAAACAACTAATTCGTGACGAATGTTGGATTCCTAGAAGTGCCTATGGTTATAGAATTTTCGGCTCAAATATCTAATTTAGGTTTTATCATTCATTTTGCCAAAAAACGCTCTTGTTGTTGTTTTTTTTTACTATTAATATAGTAGCACAATGTGCCTGAAATGCAATTATAACCATGTGGTTAGTCCATTTTTTTGGCAAAACAAAAAGTTTTAAATAGAACATTTTAAATAAATTCTTTATGAAAACTGATGATACACATATGTGTATATGTATATAACGTCTGCACGACTATTTTCTTCTGGCTTGAAGAGCACTGGTATTGGACTTGTTTTGGTTTGTTTTTAATTTCGCGCAACGCTACACGAGGGCTATCTGCGCTAGCCGTCCTTAATTTAGACTAGAGGGAAGGCAGCTAGTCACACCACCCACCGCTAACTGTTGGACTACTCTTTTACCAACAAATAGTTGGATTGGCCCTCACTTTATAACACCCCCATGGCTGAAAGGGCGAGTATGTCCGGCAACGAGGATTCGAACCCGCAACCCTCAGATTGCGAGTCGAGCACCCTAATGACCAGGTTATGGCAAGCCCTACGGTATTAGATATGGTGGGGGTAATGTAGTCAACATATAACTTATTCTCATTTGCTTTGACTCACGAGTTCTTGAAATAAATATCAAACCAAGTTTAGAGTTTGATCTGTTGTTGTTACTGGGTGCTATGCTTACGAATGATACGCACCACAGTGTCTTAGGGTTAATAACGGTAAAAATCTGATTTCTATGCCCGCGGTGGGCAGAGCAAAGATAGCCCATTGTATAGCTTTGCGCTTAACAACAAACAAGCAAAATGAAACGAATGGTCCCCCGGTGAGATAGCGGCACGTTTTCGGACTTACAACGTTAAAATCCGGGTTCAATTCCCTGCGGTGAACTCGGCAGATAGCCTAGTGCGGATTTGCTTTAAAACAGACACACAAAACGAATGTTATTAACAATTGTTTTTAAACAGTCATCATAATTGCTTTCTTTCTCATTTCCGTTTTATGTTATTTTGGGGCCCCGGCCTGGCCAGGTGGTTAGGGAGCTCGACTCGCAATCTGAGGGTCGCGGGTTCGAATCCCCGTCCCACCAAACATGCCCGCCATTTCAGCCATAGTGGCGTTATAATGTGACGGTCAATCCCACTATCCGTTGGTAAAAGAGTAGCACAAGAGTTGGCGGTGGGTGGTGATCTAGTCTTTCACTGCTAAATTAGGGACGGCTAGTGCAGATAGCCCCGGTGTAGCTTTGTGCGAAATTCAAAAACAAACAATGTTATTTTTGTTTTTCTTAACCTAATCGCTGAACATACTCACGTTCTCTGTGAAACTTGTCAAGTTCGATATAAAGACGACGCTGTTCATTTGAGTGCAGAACGTTACCCAGTTCGTCGTACTTAGGGGCCAGGAAGATCCGCACGGTGGCGTGCTTAGTGGAACCTGTCTTGTTCTCCACGTTGATCTGGTAGCTGAACGGTTCGTGATCAAGGTGGTGATACTTAACCTGTCATATAGGATGAAATAAAGTCGATCAATTCCAAGTTCACATCTACGAAACCATAAAACGCTTTACAGACCAAACAACGTTGTATGTGTGTGTGTTGTTTCTGATTAACACAAATCACGTAGCGCCCCCTTGTGGAATATATTAAATTTACATTGTTGAAGTGAAAATTGTTTGTTTTAATTGATTCGTTACTACAAGTTACGTTCTTCAAGTCAATGAGCTTTTTTTTTTTCTTTCAGAAACATGTTTAACTGTACAAATAGTATCTTTCTTTTATCCGAGGATGGGTTTCACTTTGAATCTTTAATTAATTTATTTCATGAAATATTTAATTGACACTTAGAGAACTAAAACGAAATACAATGTTTAAGTTTCCGATTTTTTTTTTCTCTCTAAATCATCACCAGAAAGTGCCAGTTTGCGTTCATTAGGTACTCTTGATGTAGCTTCTATACTTAGGGTTAATCGTAATTTGTGAAAACGATGTTTAAAGTTCCGTGCATCCTTTCGAATTAATTCCTCCTTCACAGATCTTGCAAAGTCTGATGATCATGATTACTTACTTTAGTCCCACAATCTGACGGTCATGATTACTTACTGTTGTCCCACATTCTGATGGCCATGATTACTTACTTACTGTTGTCCCACAATCTGATGGCCATGATTACGTACTGTTGTCCCACATTCTGATGGACATGATTACGTAAGTAATCATGGCCATCAGATTGTGGGACAACAGTAAGTAATCATGGCATCAGATTGTGGGACAACAGTAAGTAATATTGTCCCACATTCTGATGGCCATAATTACTTTTAATTGTCCCACAATCTGATGGTCATGATTACTTACTATTGTCTCACAATCTGAGGGCCATGATTACTTACTATTGTCACACATTCTGATGGCCATGATTACTTACTATTGTCCACAATCTGATGTCCATGATTACTTACTGTTGCCCAACACCATAACTTCCACTACAACTAGTTTCTGCAAAAGACGGTGAGGCCCACTTAAATCACACATCTTGACAAGTTGTCTACAAACCCTCTACTGAACAGGACCATATTTATACAGAATTGAAAATACAAAAGTCCATTGGTGCTATACTGGAGGACTCTACTAGTATGTGGTGAAATAGGATCGCTGTGAGTTTAGTTTTTCAGTCAAGGTTGTTTATTTTGTCAACAGCACAATAGAGATACGTCCAGCTTCGTTTAAATGTATTTTAGGGTTGGAAGGTTCTCTTTCGTAGTCATAGCATTTACTTTGCAGATGAGAGTGTTGTTCGGATTGGCTTGGGACGTGGTTTTGAAGTTCGATGCTATCATAAGTGATCTGATGTACGAATTTTTTTCTTAGCTTCTTTCATTGAACATTTAACAGTCCTGCTATTTGTTTGAAAAGGGTTGGTAATTCGCCTGAATCAAATATACAGGTGCTAAAACATGTTGCCTGTTTCGCCACTTCTCTCATTTACGGAAACAGGCCATTGTATTATCATATGCAAACTGTTATTACTGTAGTATAGTGATTCAGTATGTATATTCAGTACATTCACGTATCGTGGACAATTTACACTGCTCCTTTCTTACAATAGGTATGTATATTTATCTCGACAATTACGATATTTTAAAATCATAAAATTTTAATAAGAGATGCCAGTTTTCTGACCAAAAAACAGAACTGTACCTTCACTGAATGGTCAGTTCCGTAGTTGATACCATGGGAAAGCTCAAGTTCACCCAGAACCATTGATGTAGTAATTACGTTGGTGGTATTGGCCTTAATACTAGCACTCAATACTTCGACACCAGGGAAAGAAAGCTATCCGCACAAAAAAAGAAAAATCTATTAATGTCAGGTCATAACTGCTATATAATTACATACATATATAGACATGTTCGATAAGCTACTCGAAATCACCCCACATTAGTTCAGTATTTTTAACACCAGGGAAGGAAAGCATGCACACACATATCTTAATAAATCGTTACTAGTTTTTGATTATGTCCAAACTTGTGTATGTTTACAAGTTTGTTCGATAAGTTACTCAAAATCACGCCATAAATTTCTGAGTAGCTGGATAAGTCAGCTCCATATTAGTTCAGTACTTTTAACACCAGGGAAGGAGAGCATCAACACACATACGCACAAATCACATATCTTAATAAATCGTTACTAGTTTTTGATTATGTGTATGTTTACAAGTTTGTTCGATATGTTACTCAAAATCACGCCATAAATTTCTGAGTAGCTGGATAAGTCAGCTCCATATTAGTTCAGTATTTTTAACACCAGGGAAGGAAAGCATCCACACACATATCTTAATAAATCGTTACTAGTTTTTGATTATGTCCAAACTTGTGTATGTTTACAAGTTTGTTCGATAAGTTACTCAAAATCACGCCATAAATTTCTGAGTAGCTGGATAATTCAGCTCCATATTAGTTCAGTACTTTTAACACCAGGCTAGGAGAGCATCAACACACATACGCACAAATCACATGTTTTAATAAATCCTTATTAGTTTTTGATTATGTGTATGTTTACAAGCTTGTTCGATAAGTTACTCAAAATCACGCCATAAATTTCTGAGTAGCTGGATAAGTCAGCTCCATTTTAGTTCAGTACTTTTAACACCAGGGAAGGAGAGCATCCACACACATACACGGAAGCTTTAACAGTTCTATTATACGAAGTTTTTGTATCCATTATCTTTAATTCGATATAATAACGAAACCTTAGGCCTACTTTTGATTTCTTAACACAGTATTTTGTATTTTTGGTATTTTACACCAAGATTTACGTATAAAAGTAAATTTTACATAACATTACTTATTTCCCACCCCCCAACTAAGCTTTTACATTTTCTAAAGCTTAACAATTTGATACTAACCTCTTCTTTTGTGTAAGGGGCCAGAGATTCTTTGTATTCCTGGAATATATCGTCGAGGGCCCTGTGCCACCTATAAAAGATCGGATCACGTAGTGACGTAGAGGTGTCGCTCATGACGCCTGGATTTTCCTATCGAACGAAATTAAACTGTATTTGTTTGTTGTTTAAATTTATAAATGTAACCTGATAAACTCGCGGGGAAGTTGAATTAACATTGATATAAGTTCAAATAAAGATAATACCGTTAAGATTTAGGCTAAATAAACAACAAAACATAACCATCGTACATTAAAATAGTATCCAACTTTCCTTCAATTATGTGACGAGTTACTCTCGTCAACAGGAAACAAAACACGGAAAACATTCTTGGTTTGTTTATGAATTTCGCGCAAAGCTACTATTGGGCTAGCCGTCCCTAATGGGGAAGGCAGCTAGTCAACACCACCCACCGCCAACTCTTGTGCTACTCTTTTACTAATTAGTAGTGGGATTGACCATCACATTATAACACCCCCATGGATGAAAGGGCGAGCATGATTGGTGTGACGGGGATTCGAACCAGCGACCCTCAGATTGCTAGTCGAGCGCCCTAACCACCTGGCCATGACGGGCCAAATAATTACTTAATTTGTTGATCTTAAAATCTTTAAAGTAAATTCAAACTTTTTTTCTTTTCTTTTTTTTCATAAACTGGACCTCACTTCATAGCTGATAAAACAACTGTTGAAAAACTTACTGTATTATGACTTGTTATTATAAACTGTATTACAGCAATTGAAACAAGAAAAATAAACAGATTCGGGTAACCAACCAATAGATTTGTATTTATACAGTTCATTACCGGTGGGGTCTCAAACATTGAGTCATTCTATATTTTTTGTCTGCTACGACACTCGGTACAAAGAACTGACCAACGCAGTTGTTGAAAAACCACTCACTTTCTATGTGAAATACATGGTAAGATCGCAGTAGAGGTCAGTGGGATTAATTTCATTATTGGTGCTTCATATTATTCATTTATTGTTTTGTAACCCAAAACGTCTTGGTGCCACAAGCAAGTTGACGTATAAAAAAAAAAGTTTAGAAAATTGTATTTAACACGAGGACATCGATAATTGTGGGGACGATTTCTGTTTCAGAGTTCTGTCTACCTCAAAAGATCATCTTCTGTTCCAAGAACTTGAAATTTTAACATGTTACTTGCATGAACTATTACTACGAGTGGTTGAATGTAATCATAAAAGGTTCCTCTGTCTCGTACTTACCTTAAACTTGCCTTCGGGATCGTGAGCACGAGCTGTTAGCACGTGACCCCAGTTGTGCAAGCTACCGTAGAAGTCGTGATTGACGGATTCATGGCTGGATTCGACCAGAGCACCAAGAACGTCAATACCATGCTCATCATCAAGAGTGACCACCTGACCATGATGGTCGTGCACCATCTTCAGGTCGATGGAGTCCATGATTCTGTGCCTCCAGCGTTCCATCTCCTGGATGGTTACTTCAGGAAGGTCATGAAGCTTCATTCCGCTGGGTCGACTACCGTAACTCAGACCACTGATTAGAGAGGTCAAGTGAGGAGAGTAACCATCGAGTTCTTCATGAAAGTCGTTAAAGGGCACCATACGATGCATCCCATTGGACAAACGCTCACAGTCGTACCTGAGAACATGAAAGACGGTATCCCATAAACGTAACAAATAAGTCAAGTAGAACAAATGCACGCCAAAATTGGGTATAAAAGGATCGTATAAATAGCATTTCACCGGAGTTAACCTGGCATCCTCAAGATTTCATTTTTATTATATACTCTTCCCTAAGAGAGTCGACATCGGGGGGAGGGGAGATATTTGTCTCTCTTAATTACACTTTTCAGGAGATCGTCTTTTAACAACGCTGGCTTAACTATGGGCAAACCTTAGCCCGTTGTGTAACTTTTTTAAATCAGTTTTTATCTTTTTATTTTATTTTTTAACTATAGTTACTTATGAAACTACTCGTGAAAATATTTCGACTATTAAAAACACATTAAGTCTTTCATTTGATCCTACAAAAATGTAGGTTATTTAGCTTTTCTTTTGTTTTTAAGCATGACTATTACTCTCCACCCCCCCCCCCCCCCCCCCCCCCCCCCCCCC